GGAGATGATGACACCAGGGTTATGGTGGATCCTAGTGGGTGGTGACAGCATTGGATCTCATGGATCCTGGGAGATAATAACATCATGGTTGGAGTGGATCCTGAGAACTGATAACATAATAGCTATGGTGACTCCTGGGACATGAAAACACACGGTTAAAGTGGATCTGGCAGGTGATGACATCATGACACTCTTAGGTGTAATGAATTCTGGGATATGATGACACCATGGTTGAAGTGGATCCTGGGAGGATGACACCATGGTTCTGTCGTGGGAGGTGATGACACCAAAATCATGAGGGATTATGGGAAATGGTGGCATCATCAGTCCTAGTGGATTTCAGTAGAGGATGTCTGTGTCAGGCATAGTGGATTCTGGAAGGTAATGTCATCATTGGTCATGGTGGGATCTAGGAAATGATGACATCGTCAGCTGTGGTGGCTCCTGAAAGATGATGACACCGTGGTTGTGAGGAATCATGGAGGGTAGTGACACCGTTGGCTATGGAGAGTCTTGGGAGATAGTGACACCATTAGTCATAGTAAATCCTGGAAGAAGATGTTACCATAGTTGGGGGTCATAGGGAATCCTGGGAAAGGATTCCATCCTCAGACATGGGTAACACTTGACCCCGGGTGCAGTGCCATCATGAGTGGCGGGTATTGTGTGGTGCTGACAGCGTCAGTGAGGGCAAGAGTAGATGTACCTCAAGCACCTCCCCCCAGTAGAAGGCTAGGACTTTGTTGACAGAGGTGATTGTCTCTAGATATGGCAGAAAGAAGAGTGAGGCCAGGCTATAGGACACCTATGAGTGCCAGGACTCCAGGATCCTGGTGATCCAGAGTGGCCTCCTGGGAGCAGAAGGGCATCTGGTGGTTCTGTCTCCCAGGAGTCATAGCACAGGTATGGGATCCAAGGCCCCATTTCCTCTCAGAGGGTCTAGCAGAGATCCTGCTGGGCATGTCCCTTGGGTTTGGGGAGGGAGCAACCAGGCTAAGTCACGGTGGGACAAGGCAGTAACTCTGGTGACACCATCAATACCGATGGCCTCCCAGAGTGGGCAGTGCCTCTGAGGAGGAAACTCTGGTGATGCCATCACAGCACTGGGGTAGGGGGTTCACTGCCAACAGCCTACACAGACCATCATTTCTGGAGGAGGCCCTCCATATGGGCAGCTCCCCAGCGATGCTTCCTTCAGACAACATCTCAGGACAGGGCTCCTCTCTGCTCCCTGGCATCTTCCCTGGGGTTGTCCTGGACTCTGGGCCTGCCCTGCCTTCTACAACATGGTGGCAGCAATGGAGGCCTCTCCTCGTGCCATCTCAGAGCACGTAGCCTCTGGGCGACAGTGCAGAAGGGGCCTGCTCCTGGAGAGGTCCCAGAGTGGGTGGTCATCTCTGGTGATGACATCACAGGAAGAGGCACGGTCCCTCTGATGACGTCATAGGGCAAGGCACCTTCTCTGGTGATGGCATCACAGGAAGGAGGCAGGGTCCCTGTGATGATGTGGTGAAAAGGAGACCTTAGGTCTAGTGAGGACACAATTGGTGAGGCATTTTCCCCTGCGACGTGTCCCAGGAAGATGGCTTTGTCTGTAACGATGACATCATAGGACAGAGGCATCTTCTCTGCTGCAAAGACACAGGGAGAAAATATCTTCCCCATGGCGATGATGCCAAAAGAGGCCTTGGAGTTAGAGGTGAGATTGTCTCTGCAGTGACACCACAGGATCGAATGCCATGGGGCAAGGCATCATCTCTGTTACTACACCACAAGAAGGAAGCCTCTGAGGACACCATAGAACATGGACATGGCCTCCAGCGAGGACTCACGGGCTGGCCTCTTCCTCTGTGATGACCTCATGGGAAGGAGGCCTTGTCCCTGTGATGACATCACAGAACACAGACATGTTTGCTAGCGATGACCTCATGGGCCGGCCTCTTCCTCTGGGATGACATCATGGGAAGGAGGCCTTGGCTCAAGCAGTGACGTAATAGGAGGAGGAATCTTGTCTGCCAGGACATCCCGGAAGGAGGCTTTGACTCCTGTCCAAGGGCCGATCTGGGCCCCAGGCCCCTGGCGTGTGTGCGCCTGTGTCGGGGGATCCCGGCTGGGACGGGGGGCCCGGG